CATTTGGGCCAGTGTAGCTACATGAAGTATACAACTGCTGCTTAGAATCTTCTACTATATCTGTAATAAAAATAATATGAGGCCATTATTACATCAATATTTATAATATCAAAACATGTACAGGTATATACATGGACAGTGAAAGGAGGATTCCTTTTCTAACAATTTTTCATTATAATACCCTTTACAATAATAATAATACATGGTATTTTGTCGAAAATGGCTAAAAGAAAATTCTCAATTTTTATAATTTTTTCTGATACACATACATGCTCTTATGTTGTGTAGTTGATTCCGATCAAAATTGGATTTTTAACAAATTTTTAAAGTTGCTCCAAAATTGGGTAAAAGTCCCTGTACTATATATAGTACATGGTCCCGGGCCAAATTTCGCCAAAATTAAAAAGGAGAGAATTTGTCATTTTTACAATTCTTTCTGATACATATACATGTTCTTATGTTGTGTAGAGAGTTAGAGCCAGTTCCAGTCAAAAAATTTGATTTTTTTATAATTTTAAAAAGTGGCTCTAAAATCGGGCCAAAGGCCATGAACAGGATATGTACATGTACATGTATGTATAGGATTATATTTTAATACAATAGCTAGAAAAGAACTCATCATTTTTGCACTTTATTTTGATACACACACGGATTTAAAAATAAAATTAGAACATTCTATTTCCTCATTCCCCTCCTCCTTTCCTCTCTCTCTCTTACGTTTAGAACACTTTGCTGCAAATGGTAGACTCAACTGGTTACAACCAGTGGTGGTACATGGTGTTGAGTTATTTGCCTTCAGTTGTTGCTGGAGTTTAACTAAGTGCTGGTAGTGAGATCTGTTTGTGTCCTTCAGTTCTTTTTTAGTGTACAGGTCAAGTGTTGCTGTTACTCTCTTTAATTTTTGCTTTCTTTCAAGGAGACCTTGTTCCAGTGTCCTCTTTCTGTAGCAGCGATAAGCAATGTCATGTTTATTGCCACCTTCTGATGGTAATAAAGCTGTGATGAAAGAGAGAGAGAGAGAGTAAAATTATAATTATACATGTAACTTTTCTTTCCTCTTTAATCCTTGCCTTTTTCTCTGGCTCCTCCTACTGCCTGCCATTCTTGTAAGAATCTTCGTCTTCTCTCTTGTAAGAGGTAGCCGAGACGAGACAGCTGTCCCATGTACAGCATACGGAGTCTCTCCATTTTCCCTTTGTAGATAGAGAGTGCTTCTTGCTCAGTCCACACTCCAGCTGAACTACATAGAAAGGAAAAAATGGAATATTAATTTCATATTTCATATAAAAATGGGTACTATCCCTCTTACTCTAATGGGAAGTTGTCCATGCTAAGTACATATTCAGAGTCGCTCTCATTCTCTCCTTTCCAAGTTACTTCAACGTGTGGCTTGTCTATTTTCTATTTGAGTAAAGCGATCAAGCAATCAAAACAACAATAATTAAAAATATAATGTAAAAACAGCACAAAAAAATAATGAGAGAGAGAGAGGGATAATTATAATAAATTAATGAATACACACATTGTCAGGTACAAATTGTCTGGACAGTTAGAATTGCTGTTTGAGACAATAGTGTAGAATCTATGTCACAGTAAATTGAGTTGACTGGAAAAATAAATATACTCAATGGAAGCAATGCATTACAATAGTCTGACTGACTTCATTATAATCCTTTATTAGTATATTAGCAACACCTCGTGATGCCACAGTATCATAATCATTTAAGAGCTCAACAAGCCATAGAAATAATGATCCATTAAAAGTAATGGCATTTTTCAGTTC